CAGAGGTGGGAGAGAGAGGGCCGCCGGGACCAGCGGCCTCCCGCAGTGCCGTTGGGAGCCCCAAGCCTGCCCTGATTCTTTCCTCCACACAGCTTAGCCCTGTGTCTGCACAGGCCCCAGGGCCCTGCAAGAGAGAAAGGAGCATTTCTCAGACCAGCCCTGAGGTTGGGTCCAGACACTCTGTCAGGAGAGGAAGGCAGGGCAGGGGGGCAGGGCCCGTCACCCTCTTCCAGGAATGGCTGAGGCTACCAAGGGCAAAATCCACCCAAGGAAGGCATGAGCCCCTCGGAGCCGTGGAGGTGGAGGCTCAAGGCCCGGGGGGGGGGGGGAGGGGGGGTGGCGGTGGCATGGGGGAACTGGGATAGAAGGGGAAGCACAGACCTCAGAATTGAGACCAGAAGAAAACTTTTTTTTTTTTTTTGCTTTTAGGGTCATACTTGGCAATGCTCAGGGGTTACTCCTGGCTCTGAACTCTGGAATTACTCCTGGCAGTGCTCGGGGGACCATATGTTGGGAATCGAACCTGGGTTGACAACGTGCAAGGCAAACGCCCTACCCGCTGTGCTATATCATGGCTCCAGCCCCCAGAAGAAAACTTCTTAAAAATAAAATATGGGGCCAGAGAAGTCAGGCAAGGCTGAGGCACTTTCCTTGCATGGGTTCTAGGGCTTGAACAAGTCAAGCCCTGTTCAACCCTTAGAACCCCAGCAGGAGTGGTGATCCCTGAGTACAGAGCCAGGAGTGAGCCCTGAGCACTTTGGGGCATGGCCCCCAAACAGCCCTGCCCCCCCAAAATATCTTTTTGTTTATATGAAAAAATTAAGTGTAGTGGAGCAGTGCTGGGCTTCCCAATGCTCGGCAGGCACCAGTAGCCCTGACCGTGTTCACCCTCGCCAGCCCCTGGATCTACTGGCTACCAGAGCAAAGGTGAGGCAGCGTGGAGGCCTTTCTCCATCTCTACCAGGAACCCACAGAGGGCTGCTACTCCCGGGAACATCCACACTGGGGCTCTGCCCAAAGTGTCCCACACTAAGCTGGACAGGAAACAACCCTGATCTGCGTCAGGGTCCTGCCCCCACCTGGGAGAGCCCCGGGGGAGAAGGCATCCATGTGGTCCTGGTGACACCAGGCCCACTGAGAGAGGAAGCACCAGGCCCATTGGGGGGCTGCCTAGTTCTGACCTGGCAGTTCGCAGACACCCAGGTCCTGAGCTGCAGACCCCTCACTGGGAGCAAGGAAGAAAACAGAGAACGGCCAGGGGCCCAGCAGGCAGCAGCCTCTCAGCAGCTCATGGCACAGCTGGGTGTGGACCACCAGCCCGGCTGCCCAAGAAGCAGCCAGAGGCGTGGCGCGGGCCATAGCTCGTCACACCCTCACCCTGCAATGCAACCCTGCGCCCTGTCACAGCTGCTTCTCGGGCCTCTCCTTCACGCCGAAGCCCACCTTCTTTCCCGAGGACTTACTGTGCTCCAGCAGGGGACCCTACAAAGACACAGCAGCCGGGAGCTAGAGAGGAGGTCCCGGAGCAGAGGGACCGGCCTCTCTGCCGCCCCCCCCAACACACACACACACACACACACACACACACACACACACACACACACACAGACCAGCCGGTTCCGGTCAGAGTCCGGATAAGCACAGCCCCACTCCCCACCATTGCCCCCTGCCCTGCCTGTTTGTCCTCAAGGCTAGCGCAAAGCTAGAGCCCCGGCAGCCACTCCCGACCAGCAGACCAGGCTTGCCGGGCCCTCCGCACACACTGAAGAGGTGGGGACCGCGGGCAGCCCAGTGATCCAGGTGGCCCCTCCAAGTCCGAGCTCTTCAACTCTGGAAAAACACCAGGCAGGTCTCTCTGCACGCGGCTGTGACCAAAAGAATGCCCGCCTTGCACCGCTGTCCGTCGGCGCGTGCTGTGACCAGCTCAGGTCCTGCAGCGCGGCAGCAAGGGAAGTGGCTGGCCAGAGGGCTTCCTGGACGAGGGGCCCCCTCCGATAAGTGGGTCGCATGCCCAGGCAGGGGTACAGTCAGCAGGCACGGCCTCCAGGGAGAGGTGGGCCTCCGTGGGGCATGCACGAGTTAAACCAGCCCAGCGGGGCCGTAAACGCCTGGCTGTGCGTCCTCACCCTCGGGGCGGTGCCAGGCGGGCAGGACACGCGCTCGCGGGCTGGGCCGGCATCTCCGCGGGTCTCATCCCGGGGGACACCCCTTTAAGTGGGCCGTGGCCCGGGGAGACGGGCCCGATGGAAAATCCCCCGGGCTCGCCACGCCAAGCCAAGCCGGCGGGGCCACCGGGCGGGTCCGCGGTGCTGCCCTCGCGCGCCCCAGCCCGGCACTGCACGCCCCGGAGGGCCGCCCCCTGCGCTTGATCTCCTGGTTCTCAGACTCGCTGGCACGCGTGGGGCTGAGAGGGAGGGCAAGTGGCGCTCTGCGGTGCAAACACAATTCCTTTTGCTAATCTTATCTCGGCTCGCTCTGCCCCTTAGCAGAAGTGCCCTGTTTTGAGCTGGAGCTCACCTCCTAGCACGCGCCAGTTCTCTGGCATTTCTTTAGGCAGAGATCATGCGTTGGAGAATTTCTCAAGGCACTATTAAGGGTGCCCTGAATATTAAGGAGCCGGGGAGTAGAACAGCGCTTGCCCCTCTCTGAACCTGGAGGGCACTTACATGGGCATTGCAACCAGCATACGTAGTTCTCCGTGTATCTAAAATGCACTCTGAGGACCATCACAAACCTGCTGCCCTGGTCGCCTGGAGAAAACATGTGGAGGAGGCCTGGCACTCATCTGGATCCCGTGGCCTCATTTAAAATCCACAACAAATGTGTGTGTCTGTCAAAAGCTACATGCCTGGTCCAAGAACCCCCAAGTTGGCTCATTCGTAGAATCAGGGAGACAACACAGACCCCAAGATTTTGTGGCTTCTCTCACTTGACTCTGAGATGCAACTCAGTGAGGGGCCAGAGAGGTAGTACAGCGGGTAAGGTGTTTGTCTTGTATGCAGTCAATGGGGTTCACTTTCCAACACCCTGTAGGGTCCCCCAAGTCCCTCCAGGAGTGATCCCTGAACACGGCTGGGTGCGTCCCCAAATAAACAAGTGAGAGGTTTGTCACCTGCCTTGTCTCCACGTGAGGTGGGAGCTCTCATTAGGGACAACTTTTGCTAGGGGTTTATCCTCCCTGAACTTGTGGCTCAGAAGATGGGTGCACGTAACAGGGAGTACCCAGGGCTTCACCTTCTGAGTCTCTTTGGTTCTAGGGAGTAGGGGGTTGGGGGGATTGTGGCTGCTTTGCAGCCTCGCTGGCAGGAGTGGAGACGAGTAGCTACCACCCCTGTCCCTGCCCTCCTGCAAAGACAAGCCATGCGTGAGCATCACTTGAGGGCACTGTCTTCAGGGGTCATGGATTCTAAGGGGAGACCCACCGTGCAATTCCAGGTGAGAAGACGTGGCACAAGGGTGCACGTGACCGCAGCCACAGCTGTGCCCCCCACCAGCGCCCAGCCTGCACCCTCTTCCCCAGGGCCACACCCCTCCCACCCCTTTTGAAAATCCCACATACCCTTCCAGCTCCTCACCTCAGACTTCTACTTCTCTGTGGCCCCACGAGGTATAGTCAGCCAACTCCTGACCCCTGGATTTGAACCCTGCAGACTTGCCTTCTGTGTGCACTGGATCCCAACCCACCCTTCCCAGCTGTGTGGCCGCTGGGCCTGGCCCTGCTCAGGGGTGAACGAACCACATGGCTTACATTTTGAGGCACCACTGACCACAATAAACCCTCACAAAGCCCTTGCGTCCCCTTTTCCCACACACCGCCCCTCCCATGCTCTCAAAACTACAAAGAGGTAGGGGTGCTTGGCCGCTGGGCCCCCCCCCTCCAACTCACTCTAAGAGGACGCCCTTAGGAAAGATTAGCGAGGAGGCTGGAGGGATAGCACAGTGGGTAGTGGGTAGGGTGTTTGCCTTGCACCCGGCCGACCCTGGTTCGATTCCCAGCATCCCATAGGGTCCCCCGAGCATCGCCAGAGGTAATTCCTGAGTGCATGAGCCAGAAGTAACCCCTGTGCATCGCCGGGTGTGACCCAAAAAAGAAAAAAAGAAATTAGAGGTTCTGCACAGCCCGTTCCTGCTGGGCACCCCAGTGCAGAACAGCAGACCTGGGCCCAGGGATGTCCAACCTGGAGGAACCCAGCGGGCAGAGTGGCGCCCTGCAGAGGAGGACAGTCCAGGCCCACCAGATCCTCGAGCTAACGGCCAGAAATCCGTCTTCTGGTCTGCGGGAGTCACAGCATTAAGGCCGTTTTCACTGGGGAACGGGGAACGGGGACTGGGGCGGCGCTCCAAGGAGGAGCCACAGGCTGGCCTCGAGGCCGCGGGGTCTCGGGACAGGATGGGGCAGGACAGGCCCCTGCAGGCGTCCCGTCTCGCGCTCCCGGCGCCCCTTTTCCTGGCCCCTGTGAGCACCCCAGAGTTCCCTGCAGCTCCCGAGCCCCTGTGTGCAAGGTCAAGGGCTCCCGTCCCGCCCCGGCCGGGGGTCAGGGACCACCCCTCCCCCCTCCCCCCGACCTCAGCCGAGGCGCCGTCCGCGGCGCGCCCCCGCGGCCCGGCTCGGCCCCGCGCAGCCCCGCCGCTCGGGAGGCGGAGCCGGGGCCCGGCGCGGGCGGCGACGCCTAGAGGCGGGCGGGGCGGGCGCGGGGCGGGCGCGGGGCGGGGCGGCGCGGGCTGCGGAGACGGAGACGCGGCGCGCGGGGCGGCGCAGAGCGTGGTGGACGCGGAGCGGGCGGCGCGCGCGGGGCGGCGGGGGGCGCGGGCCGGGCCGAGGGCCGGAGCCGAGGCGGAGCCGAGCCGGGCCCGGGCCCGGAGGAGCGGGGCCGCGCCGGGCCGGGGCCCGCGCCGCGCCGGGCCGCCCGGGCGCCGAGTGACCGGGCCGGGCCGGAGCGCGAGCGGCGGCGGCGGCGGCGGCGGCGGCGGCGGCTGCGCCCGCGCCCCCCCGGGCCCCCGCGGCCCCCCGCGCCCCCCTGGTCCCGGCGATGGTGACACATGCGGCGGCGGCGCGCCGGCGGCAGGACCATGGTTGAGCGCGCCAGCAAGTTCGTGCTGGTGGTGGCGGGCTCGGCGTGCTTCATGCTCATCTTCTACCAGTACGCGGGCCCGGGGCTGAGCCTGGGCGCGCCCGGCGGCCGCGCGCCCCCCGACGACCTGGACCTCTTCCCCACGCCCGACCCGCACTACGAGAAGAAGTACTACTTCCCCGTGCGCGAGCTGGAGCGCTCGCTGCGCTTCGACATGAAGGGCGACGACGTGATCGTCTTCCTGCACATCCAGAAGACGGGCGGCACCACCTTCGGCCGCCACCTGGTGCAGAACGTGCGCCTCGAGGTGCCCTGCGACTGCCGGCCCGGCCAGAAGAAGTGCACCTGCTACCGGCCCAACCGCCGGGAGACCTGGCTCTTCTCGCGCTTCTCCACCGGCTGGAGCTGCGGGCTGCACGCCGACTGGACCGAGCTGACCAACTGCGTGCCCGGCGTGCTGGACCGCCGCGACCCCGCCGCGCTGCGCACGCCCAGGTGAGCGCCGGGCTGGAGGCTGGAGGCCGGGGCGGAGCGGGGGGCCGGGGGCCCGCGCGCTCCCGAGTCCGCGACCCCTCCCTGGCCGCTCCCCGGCCGGCACCCTCACCTGCCCCGCGCCTCCTCCGTCCCACCGGGGCGGCCCCTGGGTCTGCCCACGGCCCTCGGCCGGCGTCCCCGGCCGCGCCGCCCGCCCTGGCTGCTTGGTGCAAAGCCTGCGCCACCCCCGGCTCAGCTCCCGGGAGCGGTCGGTTCCGGCGGGCGGGAAAGCCCGTCCCGGTGCGTGTGTCGCTCCTCTGCGGCCAGGTCCTTACCAGCACCCTGCTCAGCACCCCTGCGGCCCCCCACCCGCCCGTCGCAACCCTCGAGGGGCCCGCGGGGAGCTGCGGGGAGAGGGGCTGCCTGTGCGCCCCAGGCTCGGTAGAACAAAGGCCGGCGAGCGACCTGGCGGGGAGGCCGCCTTCCTCCCGCGGGGCAGGGATCCGGAGCACCTGTGCGGCCACACACCTGCCCGGGGTGAGGGGTGGGGGGGCCGCGGCAGGAGGGGGACCCTGCAAGTTGGGGCGCTAGTTTGGGAGGAGGTGCTGGGGGGCCCTCTCCTGGGAAGCACGGTGCAGCCGTAACTCAGCTTAAAGTGGAGATGGGGGTCTCCCGTTTGCCCTGGTGCAACCCTGGAGTGGGGCTCCCCCTGGAGCTAAGACTACACACACACACACACACACACACACACACACACACACACACATACACACACTTCTTTTGTTTCTTTTCCACACTCCCTTCTAGCTCAGCCGGGAGCCGTGCAGTAATGGGGTACTCTGGCCCTCTCCAGAGTCAGGGTGCAAGTGAGCACGGGGTGGGGGTTCAGAGCCACAAACCGTGTGGGTTCTGTGTATTTCTCGGCTCAGCCCAGTCCTTTTCCTGGGGTCCTTTCCAGACAGCCAGGAAATGGGGGTGTGGGGCGGCTGCCCGTCTCCATCTCCTGCCTCTGCCCGGGTCCAGCCTCAAAGCGGCCCTTGCTGCCCATACAGGATGCAGTGGCCCAAAGCTCCCTGGGCTAGTGCCCACCTGGGGCCTGGGTGCCCGCAGCCACCTGCCCACCAGGGCCCTGGAGCACTACGCACACCCTGCCCCCCTCCTGTGGGCGCCTCCCTGTCTGCAGGAGTGGGGGCTGGGAGGCCCCGGCCTGTCTGCCCGAGGGAGAGTGTGCGGGACCTGCCGGGGCTGCCAAGACGCCAGACGTCCCCGCAGAGATGGCGCGGGGCCCAGCCGGGCCCAGCCTGCACCCGCCCGGGACGCTTGCTGGCCACTGAGCCCCGGCCTCCTCCGGCACCGCCACCAGGAGAGGAGGGGCTTGGGCTGTTCGGGGCAGAGGGGGGGGGGGGCCGCTTAGGGTGGAAGCCGGGAGCCTCTCGCTGCAGGGCGGGAGGGGCTGCAGCCTGGAGTCCCTCCCGGATCTCCTTCATGTCTGCCCGCCCCAGTCCCCTCTCTTCCCAGCTCGCTGGATTGTTCTCTAATGAGCTTCCTCCCAGCCGCGGGGTCCAGGCTTTGTGCTGCTGCCAGCCCAGCAGTTCCTGCCCCGCCGGCGCCCAACCGGGCAGGGGCACCCACTCCCCTGCTCTGGAGGCAGGCACCCACGCGCCCAACAGGGCAGGGGCACCCACTCCCCTGCTCTGGAGGCAGGCACCCATGGCTGGGGTCGGGCAGCCGGCTTTCAGCTCTCCCTGCTCCTGAGGGTTCTGGAGTGGCCCGTTAGAGGCTGGGATCATGAGGAGTCAAAGACCCCCGTGTCTTCTCTCTTCCCAGAGCCAAGCACAGGGCAGGGGACTGCATCTCCTTGCCCTGAGGCATGCATGTGCTGAGCGTGTCCCCCAAGTCCTCCCACCCACCCCCAGTTCCTGTGGCACTCAGAGGTCTGAGTGGGCAGGAGACGGGACAGGGGGGTCTCTAGCCCCTGCCTGCACCCTGACTGGAGGAGACGAGGGGCACTGCTGCGCCCCCCACCTCCCCATCAAGGAGAAATCACCCAGAGCCTCCCCCAACCCCACCCACTGGTGTAGGCCGGTTAGAGTCTCCTGAGGGTCCAAGTAGTGCCCCCGTGCCAGTCCCCCACCCACCCTCCGCCCACCTGCCTACAGGGGGCAGAAGAGCCCCCCGCCCCCCACCTCTGCCCTGGGTCTGCACCTTGGCCCACACCCTAGTTCCCTGCACCGGCCTGGGCCCCACCCCGCCTCCTCTCCTTGCGGCTCTTCCACCTCCTCCCCCTCGCCTTTAGACCCCCACTGCTGCCTGTGTGTCCCTCTGTGACGTGGTGGCACTGGCTAGAGGGTCCACACGTCAGTACCAGTGACAGCTGCTGCCACCACCACTCCCCTCACACCCACAACTGTCCTCTAGCTGGACCCAGCCTGCACCTCCTCCCCTCCCCCACCCCCGTGGCTGGCGTGGGCTGCCGGGACAGCGTGAGTGAGGCCAGGAGGGTGACGGTGCCCACCTAGCTCATAGCCAGCCGAGGTTCACTCCCTGGAACCCCAGGTGGTCCCTGAGCCCACCAGGAGTGACCACTGGGTGCAGAGCCAGGTGTGCCCTCCCCCTAGGAAAGAAAGAAAAGGAATGAGGAGGCTCCCTCGGCTGAGACTTACTGTCCCACCTTGTCACTGTCTTGTTTGTTTTGAAGACACACGCCTGTCTCTGCAGGGCACAGGGGGGCACAGACACAGCCTAGCCACCTGGGCACTTGGTTGGGGTGTCACACGGGCGGTGGTGGCTGTGAAGACACAGAGGCATGCTCTGGAAAATGCCTGCGCGCAGGGCTGTGGAGCAGGGCACGGCCCCTGCCCTGTCCTCACTCTCTCCCTGGCACGGTTGGACCAGCCCCTGGGGCCTTCCTGTCCACGGGCTCGTCACTTGCAGAGTCCTGATTGGCGGTGGTCAGCCCGACGCCAGGGCTCTGGCCTCTCTGTCAGGGATTTTACAGCAGGGCACGAGGCTTGGCATCCTGAACAGGGACGGCATCTGCACCCGACTGTTCCTCCGCGTGCCCTTCTGCTCTGTTCGTGCCCACCCGTCGCGGTCGCAGATGACGGGGAGGGAGGATCGGGAGGAGGAGAGAGCTCGTCAGCCACCTTCTGTGCCCATGGGGATATGGCAGTTAAGGGGGCCCTGCTGGACCCCTGGAGCAACAGGGTTCACAGGCACAGGGGCCTCGGGGTTGGCCGCAGGGAGGGGAGCCTGTGTGCAATTCGAGTCTTGCTGATCTGTGGTGCTTTGTTGCATTCAATGCCCTAACATAGCAGCTCCTTGGGCACCCTGAATGTTGCTGCAGGATTCATGAGAATTTGCTTTCCTTTTTTTTTTTCCTGTGGTGGGTACCCCCAGGGATGCTGAAGGCTTCCTCCAGAGTCTGTGCTCAAGGATCCTTTCTTGCCGGGCTTAGGGTACTATCTGTAGTGCCAGGGATGGAGCTTGGCTGCCTGCAAGGCAAACTACCTTCGCCCTTGTGCCGTCTCCAGCCCTGAGTTTGCTTTCTTAAATCTACAGAACGCATCCCTGTTTTTCATTGAGGAAATTCTGCTTCCGGGATGTGCTTTTGAGGGTGGCCATGCCCTGTCACCTACCAAATGCCTCCCATGGCATGTTGGGGCTGTAGTTCACCCTGTCCTGCAAGCAGGTGCAGCTTCCTGAGCTCTGGGTCCCAGAGAAGTGTAAGGGCCCAGGGGGAGGCCAGGCTGAGAGGGGTGGGGTCCCGTCTCAGGGGGCCCCAGCCGCACCAAGAAAGCTGGGACCAGGCTGAGTGGTGGCCTGGTTCTCCTGCCCCTCCGTGGGGAGGATCATGCATGCTGAGGCCTCCGGGACCCGCATGGTCCATGGTGGACAGCAGTGGGCACCCCATGGCCCTGGACCCATGGTGCGGTAAGGTTTGCTGACAGCATGGCGCTACAGGGTTGGTGCCTCGCCGGGCCTCCATACCTGCTCTGGGGTCCCCGGCCTGGTGGGCAGAGCCCAGAGGCCCTGCTCCTGCTGTGGAGAAAAGTAAAACAGATTGTCAGGTGCACGCGGGGCCTCTGCAGACTCTGCGGGTGCTGGAGGGTGCAGGGCACGAGTCAGCCCTCTGAGCTGTCCCTGTCCCTGGGCCATGATTCATCAGCGCATGATCCTCCCGGGCCCGTGCTTCCGGCCCCGGGACGGATGTGCAGGGAGGTTTGTGTCTTGGGACTCTGGTCCACCCGCGCTCCTGGGCTTCTCTTCCTGTCGTGTCGTGGATGGCTGGAGGTGAGATGTGATGCGGACAGGAAGTCCTGAGTCCCTATGCCACCACCCACACTGGCCTGGGCGTGAGACCTGCCGGCGTCTGCAGCTGGGAGTAGGTTGGCACCTGGCCCTGTCACCTGCCACGGGCCCGTGGGGTGTTGTGAGGGGGCCGGGACATCTCCCCTAGAGGCAGGCCCTATGGCATGTGTCTGGGTTGGGCTGTTCCTGCGCATGGTCCACCCACTTGCTGTGGCCTGGTGCTGCCCCACTGTTCTGGGGAAGTGCAGCCTGGTCGTTCCCACATGCATCCCCCACCAAGCCGTCCCCCAACCCGCACTTCGCCCGGGCCCCTACAGGCCGAGGGGCCTCAGAGGCCGTCCCCACACCAGCTGCTGGCTGTTCTCTTCATCCCTGGGGCTGAGCTGAGTATCTGCAGGGTCCCAGAAGAGCTGGAGCCCTGAGTGTAGACCCGGACTCAGGCTTCATGAGCCTAGCCCGTGTGGCCCCACAGCCAGGCCCTGCTGCAACAGGAGAGAACAGACAGACCTGGGGCCGGTTTGCAGCCCGTGTGGGGGTCAGTGACCACCCCCCAATCACCCCAGGCTCTCCCAGCCCCCCCCATCACCCCAGGCTCTCCCAGCCCCGCTGTGCTGGGGTCTAGCCCAGCCTGCTTCCCCGCGGCCGGCCCAACTGTGAGCACCGTGCACACGAAAAGGCCTGATGCAGGGGTCGGGTCTGAGCAGATCAGT